AGTTTGGATCCAGAGTCCAGTAATTGCCTTTCCCTGTTAGAACAAGAGCAATGAAACATAAATACAATCACAGCCAACAAAGAGCTGGTTCTCAGGGCATATTCTGGCTTGAAGTCAGAAAAAGCAATACAGTGGGTAACACCCTTTTTTTCTCTTCTTTTAAAAAAGAGACTGGGTGAGAGAGTCAGACCGTTTGTATTCAAATATGTCCGTATCCTAACTAGCCAGCCCTGCCCAGGGTGCCTTGAGGTAAAACAGGACTTTACTTTCCTAGAGTTTTTGCTTATCAGATGTAAGAGCCTGCTCCACCCCAAGAAATATTTTACAGACCCCTAATTAGCATCAGAAAAATTCACTTGAGACAAGACAGTATTTGACCTCAGGCTAGATAACACAGAGGGTGCTTGTAAGGTTCACTTTGCCATTCAACAAGAAATTAAAAGGAGCAATAGTTAGACAATTTAACCCAGAAAGTGAATTCTTCACAAAATGGGACAAAATGAAACAAAACCAGGCAGTCCAAGTTACTTGATAAGCAAGCTAGGGCTAAATCATCCTAGAACTAGAATAAAAACTGGTGTGGTTTACAAGCCTTTAATCTACAGGTAAAAGTTTTCAAGGCATAGTGTCACTTACCAGTGCTTATAGACCAAGGTATTATAAAAGAGGGATTGATAGAGAAGTTTGCAAATTACTAACATTCTTCAGGTGCTGCCAGGAACAGCATTTTAAAAACACAGTTGGAAGGTAAGAAGACTTTTCTAAGCACAGAGTGATTAAAAAAAAAAACTTCAAAATTGGTTTATTTTGGCAGAGCTGTACACTAATTTCTATTAATTGCTTATTGCCATGTGGATAACTGCACAAGTACAGCTATAATTTTAGAGGAGTATTCATAACCACCAAGGGATGTGGATTTTAGTGATCATCTGGTAAATTAAGAGGAAAGCATCAACATTCCTACTATTTAAAACTACACAGAAAAGAAAATGGGCTTTATCATTGCTATCAGTGAAACTGCTTCATATTCTGGTGCTGTAGATATCTGGGCTGGCATGGTGGTGACTGGCCCTCTTAAGGTAGAATGAAGAGCAAAGAAGCCTTCTTACCTGGATCATCTTCATCTCGAGGCACCTTCTTGAAGCAATCATTGAGAGACAGATTGTGGCGTATGGAATTCTGCCACCCAGCTTTGCTTTTGTTGTAGAAGGGGAAGTTGTCGGCAACATACTGGTAGATTTGGCTGAGCGTCAACCTCTTATCTGGTGCTCCATGGATGGCCATGGCGATGAGCGCAGAATAGGAGTAAGGTGGCCTGACCAGCTTCATAAGCTCTTCCTGAGATGGCATCGGGAGCCAGCCCATTTCATTGCCCGTCAAGCCATGCATGTTTGGCAGGAGCTGCCTTTGCATTCCATAGGATGGTGGGATGTATGGACTACCGTTGGATCCAGGGAGGTAAGGTGGAGCATTAAGGGAAGGTCCATTTAACCACAAATAAGGGTTGGGCGTCGCATTGTAGTCCCCTGTCTCAAAGTTTGTAGGCCTCTGTGGGCTAGGAACATTCTGAGGGTGAAAGAAATTTTCATAGTAGATATTCATTTCAGGAGGTTCCTGGCCGATGTTTGGAAATTGCGGGCTGCAGCGTGGTGGTGAGTGTATTTGTGGATCAAATGAGCTCATAATCTAGCTCTGGCAGTCGACCAAGTTACAACACACCTGTGTGACTCCTTTCCCTTCGACAGGTGCATCATCTGGGCTACCTAGCTCGAGTACTTATACACCTGTACGTGTTTAGGTTTACTTTTCAGGCTCAGCCTAGTGCATCCTGATAGGCTGGAGATCAGGGTGATATCCCTTTTTTGGAATGCTGACAACCCAAGCTAGTAATAGATGTCACATTAACCAAATTCGAAAGTTACAACTGTTTATCTTTTTAAATGAATGAAGGAATTTTCCACTCCTATGACTGACAGTAAGAAAGCTGAAAATGCCTTGCACATAAAGTTGATGCAGTCAGAGTTCCCTCCCCCAAAAAAGTTAAACATAATAGCAAATGTAAAGGGAAACACAGTTTTTAATACTATGTCAATTAATATAACATATTTATATTTCATAGTATTGTTTAAATTTTAGAATAACAAGAGTATTTCCAATCCACATTTTTAAAATTTCCCATTTAAAAATAGGAACAATTTTAACTGTGAAAAACTTGTTTTAAGTGCATTTACTAATAAGCAGAGTTCAGAAAAATTACTTTCTTGAATTGCAAGTTTCAAGATCCCTCACCCACAAAAAGAAAAATACTTTTCCTAGTAACTTTTTTAAGCTCTGGGAATAAGTTAGCTGGTGCAGCAAGAAACAATTCTGTTGGAACAACATTTTTGTATAACATTTTTGAATAACATTTGGAAACAACCTTATGAGCAGTGCAATCCAATGCAAGATTAGTCAGAAGTAAGTCCCAATGTAGTGAAGAGGGCTTACTTCCAAATAAATATGCATAGAACTGAGTTGTAAATCACATGTAAATGTAAATTATGTAAATCACATAATTATTTCTCAGGTACTGCTGTCTCTATCCCACTAACAAGAGGTCTTACATTTGGTTCATTGTCCCAATCAAACTACAGAACAGTCTAAAACCAAGTATTTTCAGAGAGGTGGTGGTTTGGGTATAATAAAGTCCTTGATGATTTCAACAGCTGCATGACTTGTAACAGAAATTCCAGAGATGGCTGCACCTACACTGCAGAATTAATGCAGTTTTACACCACTTTAACTGCCATGGCTCAATGCTATGGAATGTAGGAATTTGCAGTTTTGTGAGATGTTTAGCCCACTGTCAGAGAACTCTGGTGTCAAACAAACTACAAATCCTAGGATTTCATATGATGGAAACATGATGGTTAAAGCAGTGTCAGATTGTATTAATTCTACGCAGCAGCCACAACTATTAAAGGCACAGGTCCCCCAGAAAACAAAAAGATGGCACTTCAAGAACATTTTGATTTAGGCAGACAGGAGTCGCAATTTCAAAAAATCAGGTCTACATATGGCTTGAGTTTGTTTTTTTCAAAGTGTTCACTTTAAATAATAACACTAAATTCTGTCTCACAAAAAAACATTTGACCAACTGTTAGTTTTCTTCCTTTATGCCGAAGGAGAATGAGACTGTTTAGTTATCATTCCTACCACTAAATGTTTTCAGAACCTAATAAAACTATTGCTACCCATTTGTTTTGGGGAGCAGAAAATTCAGGAGCAGAAATGGAGCAATTCAGCAGGAGAAGCTTTTGGCATTACTTGCTCAAATCCAGGAGCAACAAATCTGTTGCTCTTCCAATGTTTCTGCACTACAACATCCATCATACTTGCCCATTAGCCATGATGGTTGAGATTTATGAGATGTGGAGTCCAGAAACTTTGGAAGCACCACATGTTCCTCATATCACAGCCATACCTGTTGAATTTCTGTTTGTACTCATCCTTTTGCCCAACCCAAAAGCTCAGGAACTTTGTTACAAATAACAAAGGGATGTGAGTGTTTTGTTTTGTTTTGTTTTGTTTTGTTTTAGAGAGGTGACTTAGGGAAAGTCACATGAAAGTCACATGCTCTCAACCTCAGAGGAAGGCAATGGCAAACTACCTTTGAGTATTCCTTGCCTATGAAAAACTTATGAAATTGGAGTGATGGGTGAGTTGAGAGGACACACACACATATTCATACATACACCTGCACATACTGTGTTTCCATAAGCAAAGTCAATCCTTTCTCCTGTACTGAACAGGGAAGTTACCTAAAATTAGTAACTTTTGGAGCAATGAGGATACAATGAAGTTGTATCCAATGTATTGTAGACAGAGAGAAGTTACTATAATGAGTACCACTTTCTGTTGTTCTGTGCCTTCAAGTTGTTTCTGACTTATGGTAATCCTAAGGAAAATCTGTCAGGGTTTTCTTGGCAAGATTTGCTCAGAGGAGGTTTGCCTTTGCCTTCCTCTGAGGCCAAGAGCATGTGACTTGGTCATCCAGTGGGCTTCCATGTCCAAGTGGTGATTCGAACCTTGGTCTCCAGAGTCCTAGTCCAATGCCCCAAACATTACACCACACTGGCCCTCAAGTGTTGAATACTATCCTCAAAACAAAATCAGCATCCTGGACAACTCTGTTAAACTTCAGGCTAAAGCCCAGAATAGATTCACTGGTGAGTGAAGATTTCAATCCTCGTCAGCAGGGTTGTAGTCCAGTGCTCAAAGTGCTACACCATGCTGACTCTCTGGGTCTAATAACTCTCAAAAGGACATTTAGAAGCATTTACCACAAATTTTTGAAGTTATATACCATTCTTTTTAGAAATTCTGTGATCAATCCTAACTTTTTTTGTTCATTCAAAAAAGTAAATAAAATCAATAGAAAAATAAGGAGCAATGTAGCAAGTAACAGAATGAGTTACAGCTTAATATTGCTGTTTAAGACACTGTAAAGAGGAGAGGAAGCAATTGCATTTAGAAAGTAACTTTCCAAACTATGTTCTGGAATGAGTAAACTTTCCCTTTCCTCCTCCAGATTTTGCAAAAATTACAGCAGTTGCAACATGGTTGCAGTGAAGCAGGGCTGGAAAAAATATTTGTAATTATCTGGTCCCAGGTATAAAAATGGGTTTACCAACAGTGGAAAACCCTATTGGGAATAATAGTAGATCAAGAATAATTTTTTGCAATTTTCTCCTGGTATCTAATGTCCCAACATGTTGTGGAAGGATCATTCTGCAGTGACAAATGTGGGAGTGCGTGTCACAAAAATCTATTTTCTATGTAGAAAACAGGGTTTTGTACAAATATATTTTTTTGTTTTGTGCCTTCAAGTCATTTCCAACTTATGGTGCCCCTAAGATAAGCATGTCATGGGGTTTTCTTTACAAGATTTGTTCAGAGGAGGTTTGATATTGCTTTCCCCTGAGGCTGAGAGTCACCCAAAGTCACCCAGTGGGTTTCAAAGCCAAGCAGAGAATCAAACCCTGATCTCCAGAGTTGCAGTCCAACACTCAAACCATTATGCCATACTGGCTCCTCTCTCTCTGTTTGTGTGTGTGTGTGTGTGTGTGTGTGTGTGTGTGTGTTTCAGATCCTGCATCATCATTGTAATGACTATGACAAAACCTGACAGCACTCTGATTGAAGCATTTCTGAGGCGCTCCCTGAGTACTCCCTGTCACAGAGTACTTTGAGAACAGGCAGCTGGAGTGTCCCCTTGAGGATCCCATCACAACTGTTTTTTTTTCAGAATCCTTTCAATCATGTCTCTGCAATTTTTTGAGGCTACATCCAGACATTCATGACCCTAAATGTTAATGCCTAACAGTTAGGATAACGTAAGTCCACCTTACAATAATGTAGCTGCTGAATAGGATGTCAGTGCACATGTTTTTCTCTACAGAATAATTCATCCACAACACTGGGAGATGTTTGAATATGCAGGGAATATATATGTGTGTGTGCCTTCAATTCACTTATTACCCTATGGTGACCCCATCTATTTATTTATTTATTTATTTTAGGCAATGGCTTTGCCATTACCTTTCCCTGAATATAGTCTACAAAACTTGGTACTCCTTGGGGGTCCCCATTTGTGAATACTGAGGAGGAATTTTTTGTTTTCTTCTGCAGTGGGAAGAAAACTGCTATCATTATTCATTCTTACATACAAAGATGAAATTTTCAAGGATTCACACCTCCGCAACAAAGTTTTATAAAAATTACCAAGACACTAGTCCCACAATGCACCAGTGGTCACCTAGCATATCTTTCTAGGTTCTCCTAGTAATAGGCAGGTTGTGATGTGTTATTTTCCCAACTGAAGTCTGACCAGACATGAGAAGATCAGAAAGGAGTTCCACCATGCTGGAGGAACAGATGCATTGATTCAGAGATGTTGTAGCACAGAATGAGATGTGAAATCTTTTTGGAGATTTGCAGTTATTTGATCATGAATTTAAGTGAAGTTATCAAATGCTCTTGTGAAGAAATGCCAATAAAATAAAAGATAGGAAGTCTGCTCAGTACTGTATGCCACATTTTGAAGAGTTACTTTTTGCAGCTACAAGACATTCAGAACAATTTTGTGGTACTGGACTAGACCACTCTAGATCAGAAGGAATGAATTGCACGACTGAATGTTCCCTTCACCAAAACTCCTTGTTTATAGAAAAACAGTGTCCAGCTGCACTCAAAGGTAACCTCTTTTTGTGACAGACTGTCTTTGCACACAGGTCGGGTTTCAATCACAAAAATCTTTGTATACATGCTAGGGATGGGGAAATCTACTATTTCACTTTGTTCCACATTTGAATTTTTAAAACCTAACATTTCTTCCATTCTAAATATGTGATTTGCAAATATGAATAAATGCCTTAAAATGAATAAAACCAATGAAGTTCTCCTCTGTTTGCAGCTAGCATATTCCAATAAGCACAGCTGTTCTAATATAGATATACCATATGCTCCGACTGCTCTGATTTGGCAGGGGCTGTCCCAATTAATCATGTCATTTCACTTTTTTAGCTCCTTCTAAAATGCCCAGTTTCTCTCTCCTCCTCTCAGTTTCCCACTTTTGTCCTCAGCTTCCTTCAACTGCTGCAGATAGAGTTCAAAGTGTGAAAGTAGTTTGCACTCAACTATTTTAACATGGGGAAGATGAAGTGGGGGGCTAGAATCTTGTGTACTCCAAGTAGGCTTGCACTAAAGGAAACCAGTGCAGCTTTTCCTAAGGGCTGAATGCAAAGACAGGATACCATAGGTCAATTCCATGGTATCCCAGCTGTGGCTCTGGCCTGTATCCACTCCTGGGCTAGTGCGGTGACAGGCTGGTGTTTGCATGGCCCATCACCACCATGCCACCACCATACACTCCCTTGCCTGTTGCCACTGACACCACTCAATGTGGAGCCCCCTGCTATAGCTGGTAAGTGGAAACAGAGGGCTGATGCAGGTGGCCCCTAAGGGGTGGCTCTGTGCCACCCCTGGGAGCACCGGATCGGCCGCGGCCCCAATCCTCCTTTTTGCCACTCCAAAAAGAGCTGGCAAATGCCACTCCTTTTTGGGGTGGCAAAAAGCCACCCTTAGAACTATCGCCATGTCTCTTTTGCACCCTTTGGTGCAGCTTGTGGGCATAATGCACCAACGGGGTGCCCTGACTCCTCGCACCATTCAATCAGACGTGCAGCATAATGGCAGCATCAGGGTGGTGTTGGGGTGGCTGGCATGGAGTCTCCCCACCCCAATTCTACATTCTGAAGAACCGTAAAGTCCTGCACCACCCTTAAACCCTTTACAACCAGCATTCAGTGTTGAGCATGCTTTTAGTTACACTTATTTTATTTGCATTCAGTGTCAACAAAAATTTGGGGGAGGAACTTCGCTGTTCTTTCTGGGCCTCAGGTTTGCATAAAATCTCTTTGGAATGAGATTCACCAGATATTAGTCTCTCCAGCTTGTAGATGAACCAACTTCAGTCAAATTTTCACAAGAATGGAGCTGGAATATTTTTTTTTCTAGGGGGTACATAATTCCTGAATAGTGGACTTGAAGCAGGATGCCTGTCATGTAAGTGAAAGTTCAGCCACATGTAGGCTTTGATGATTAGCTTCTAAATTGCTTACTCCCTGAGGCAGAATGCCCTTATTTACAGTTAAAATAGAGTGAAATGGGTGTTTTCCATGCACAGGCTTTGTAAAGATGCCAAGAGGAAGGCAGAGAATGGAGAGAACTGAAGACTCTAAGAGCTTTGAAAACATCTGCACTATCCCGAGGTTTCATATAACAAAGCAGAGCCCAAGTGGTCAGTACTATTCACAATTTATTTGATAATTTAGTTTTAAAACCTCTAGCACTGCACAAAGCAAAAGAGCAACTTACAGGAGGATGCTGAAGCTCCTTCCCTAGTTTTAAAACCTACATGTAAATCTCTCAGTTCCTATTAATCACATAATAAAAAGAGAAGGAAACCAATTTGTATTAAGCAAACTTAGGGGAAAATGGAGGGGGGAATACTTTAAAAAAAAACCACATACTCTACAACTGCCAGAATCCCACAGATACCATGACCACTGGCTATGCTAATTTAGTTGATTCTGGGAAACATAGTCCAAAAGGTAACTTTCTGAAGTTTGATACAGAGATGTTCATATGAGCATTTCTTTACACTTTACTTGCCTATCCACAGAACTGTGGAGGGTTATTTTTCCAAAATGAGAAAAATCCTGCTTACATTTAATTGTAAGTTGTAACTTGCATGCAAGTCTCCCTGAATGCATTACATTAAAAGGGGAGGGGGAATTATAAGTTTGATTTCTCTGTTTCTCTGTTACTATTACGGGAATTAGCCCTTGATTATGTTATGCTGTGTGTAGGTTTTGGGGTTCAGTGCATTGATATTACCTCAGGATAAAAATTATTTACAAGCACATTGTATCACAAATTAATATTATTCCCTGACCCAAATTACTGCCCCTTCTGTACATAACCACTTCAAATTCAGCAATAGCAATGATAGTTCATTTGGTCATGATCTTAATTTTTCTCTCCCCCCCCCCCCCCCCCCCCCCCCCCCCCCCCCCAGTTTCAAGAAATATTAATGGCAATCTATTTCCTAATGGCACCATTCTTGTCTTCGGTTGGTAACTTGTCAAGGCAGATGCTGTATGAGGTCAAGTACTGTGGTTTCTGTAGATATGCCTCTTCCTTCCTCAGCTAGTGTACAAACCAGTCCAAACTTTTTGTTCCAATCGAACCCATTTTTGCTCTTCTATGGTACATTCTTATACATGAAGAATCATGAACCTTTGAGAGACTCTTCCCTTCCTTTTTCCATCAAGTCCTCTTTCCAGCCCCATGGGGGGAGAGGGGATGGGGGGAGCACTGTACTGCACCCAAAGTCCTCCCAACTCAGTGAGTTTTGTTTCTCTTTAACCTTCCCTAGATGATGATGATGTTGTGTGCCTCCAAGTGGTTTCTGACTTATGACAACCCTGTTAGCCTTATTGCAGGGTTTTCTTGGCAAATTTCTTCAGAGAGGGTTTGTCATTGTTGTCCTCTGAGGCTGAGAGTGTGTGACTTGCCCAGATGGGGAAAGGGAAAGAAGGGATGAGGCTGGCTAAAGTATCGGTGCTTCAAGGAAATGGGGAGAAGAATGAAGCCACCCCTTGCACTCAGCCAATGCCTTGAGGGCCCTGCTGAATCCTGAACCAGCATTGCTTTCCCTTCCCTTGCCTTGTTCAGCTGAAGAGCTGGGTACATTCAATTCATCCTTCCTCATCTTCCTCAACCAACACTGGGTGCACATAAACATTGGTATGGAGCAGTGGCTGCTCCAGGCGCCAACTCCATGGCAGCTAGTGACCACAATTTCAGTGGAGCAGTGAATCTTATTCTGTGTTTTAGCCCAAAGTTTAAAGGATCTATCCAGGATACTGACTTTATTTTAGGGGTAGTATTCAACACTTAAGGGCTAGTGTGGTGTAATGGTTTGAGCACTGGACTAGGATTCTGGAGACCAAGTTTTGAATCTGCATTTGGCCGTGGAAACCCAGTGGGGCAACTCATACTCTCTCAGCCTCAAGGGAAGGCAAAGGCAACCCCTTCAGAACAAATCACACCAAGGACATTATCACACGGGGGAAATCTGGTGGTTAATCCACACAAATCCCAAACAGAAACTGGATTTGTGCCTCACGATTTCACACGATGTCACACAGAAGCTGGACAGAAACTGGACAGAAACTGGTGTTATCCGAGATCTTTTGAAATTCGGTAGTTTTGAGAAATGCATTTGTGAAATTACAGTAATTTCACATTTACCGTAATGTGAAAAGCAAATGCGCATTTGGGAGCATTTCCCTGCTTTTCCCATGGTTCCAGCGAGCATTCCTCTATCTGCACATGTGCAAGAAGTTCATTTCTAGTACATTTACGGGCTTTTCTCACTTGTGTGTGAACATTAAATGCGCTTACTGTAATTTCGCAATTAAGGTAATTACGTGTGAAAGCCATTTGCGGAATCAAGGTTTATTT